AGTACTGCCAACATTCCTGTGAGCTTCTGGACTTCTCGGACCATTCGGGGACTCCGAATGTCCAGGATCGCTTGAATCTGATTCGGGTTAGCTTCGTCTCCTCGCCGACTCACCAGATATCCGAGGAACTTACTTGACTCCACTCCGAAAACACACTTCGCCGCGTTCACCTTCAGCCCTTACTCCCTGAGGGTGGAGAAAGTATCGGCCAAATCCACTAGGTGGTCACAACTTCTTCTACTTTTAACTAACATATCATCGATGTAGACTTTCATGGTGTTGCCGATCTATTTTTTGAATATTCGATTCATCAGCCTTTGGTACGTAGCTCCGGCGTTCTTCAGCTCAAATGACATGACTTTGTTGCAGTAAACCCCCCTCGGAGTGATGAACGCCGTCTTTTCTTAATTTGGGGGATTTGATGATATCCTGCTCTGACGTCCAAGAAGCCCATGCGCTGATACCCGACAGTGGCATCCACCAACTAGTGTACCTTTGGTAAGGGGTAGTCGTCCTTGGGATATGCCTTGTTCAGATCAGTGAAGTCTACGCAAACACGTCATTTCCCCCCCTTTTTCTTCGCGCAGACCGTGTTTGATAACCATTCCGGGAACTGCACCTTCCAAATGGTATTGGCCTCCAGGAGCTTATCGACTTCCTCGTTCACCGCCCGAGCGTAATGTGGCGCCATGCGCCGTGGCTTCTGTTTTATTGGCTTGCGTGTCGGGTCAACATGTAGCTTATGCGTGATCACATCGGGGTCCACCAATTTCATTTCTATTGCGTTCCAAGCAAACACGTCTGCATTTTGCCTTAGAAAGTTAGTCATCTCTTCCTATTCGGCTGTAGGCATTGCGGAGCCAATCAGGAAGTATCTCTCTTCTTCGCCGTCCACTAAGAACACCTTCCGGAGGTCCTCCACTGATCGATCCATCGGGTCAGTCCGGGGGTCATCCACTCCTGGACGCCCAGACTGGATCCCTGGACTATGATTGTATTTTTCCAGGATTTCCTCTGGGGCGCGTCCCTTTTTTTGGGTGAAGACCCCCGCTCTCACAACCGAGTAAAAATAGTTTTTTACGGACGCTTGGTCCCCTAAGATCTCCATTATCCCCTCTGGTGTAGCAAACTTCAATTTCTGGTGGTAAGTGGAGTGCACCGCCCCCAACGCATGCAACCAAGCTCGCCCAATGATCACATTGTAAGGAGAGTCCATATCAATCAGAACAAACTCAGTGTTGATGGTGAAGGGACCCGTGATGACTGGCAATGTAATTTTGCCTATGGACAGGACAAATGAGCCATTAAATCCGACGAGGGGCGTCCTAACCTTGGTGAGGTCCTTGAAGCCAAGGCCCATCCGCTTTAAGGTGTTGGAGTACATCACCTCCGAGGAACTCCCGAAATCTACCAGCACCCTCTTGACGTCGAACTTGTCTATCTTCAGAGTTATGATTAGGGCGTAGTTATGGGAGTCACCACACCTTCCAAGTCCGCGTCAGAGAACGTGATACCCGGCTCCCCAATCCTGGCTCTCTTGCTGGGCAGGCCCCTATCTCTCTCGGCAACCTTTCATGTAAAGGCTATCCTCTTGAGATTGGACTCAAGCTCCTTGGACATCGGACAGTCTAGTGGACACACTTGGATCACGTTTATGACACTGTCTTGTGCCATGATCAGGGCAGAAGCATGTCCCTCTTCTGACTTGGGCTCGATGTACTCTTTCAAGTAACCGTCCTGGACTAGCCTTTCCAAGAAAGATTTATACACTCTGCAATCTTCGGTGCGATGACTGAAATCTCGGTGATAGCAGCACCTCGCTTTTTGATCACATGTGGAAGGATCACTCTGCATCTTAGGCGGCCACTTGAAGAATGACTCATGCTTGATTTTATAGAGCAACTTGTAGATGGGTTCCTTGAACACAGTGTGGACACCTTTAAATAACCCTCCTGGAGGGGGTACTAGCCCCTTTTGGGAGGTGTCCTCCCTCTCCCTCTCTTTTCTCCTAGGGGCGAGAGTTTTGCCTTTGCCGCCCCCCATTTCATCTTCAATCTTGGAGTATTTGTTTATCCGGGCCATCAATTCGCCCATATCTAAGGGAGTCTTCTTGGTCAGGGATCGGTACAGGTCCGTGTCCCTTGTCAGGCCGAGCCTAAAGGATGCGGCTGCCATGACTTTCAAACACCCTTCTACTTCATTGACCTCCTCCCAGTACCGGATGACATAATGGCGAAAGGTTTCCTGTTCCCTCCGTCTGAGCGTCAGTAATGATCCAATATCTTTGGGTTGCGTACTCCCTGTAATGAATCGGGCTAAAAACTGTCTCATCAACTCCTTCCATGGCCCAATGCTGTTGGGAGGAAGTATCTCGAACCACTTCATAGCAGAATCTTCCAAACTCATGGAGAACACTCGGCAGAGGAGTCGTTGGTCTGAGTGATACAGGGACATCATTTGCTTGTATTGCCTGAGGTGAGCTTCGGGATCAGATCACCCATTATAAGTTTTGAACCTTGGCACGACGAACTTCTTTGGTACCTTCATCCTCAGATATCACTAGTAAAAGAGGATTGCATGGCCTCGTCTTCTGCGTCGTCCTGGACAGCCTTGCCCCTTTTTCTGGATTTCAGCCGAGCTCTGAGATTAGTTTCCACCTCAGGGGGATGTCCTTTAAGGTTTTTAAGGTCATTGAAGGGATTCCCTTTCTCCGAGCATCGCGTGAAAAAGGTTGAATCCTCCTCGAACTCATCTCCCTTCCCGCGTCGTGATAGTCCTCACCGAAGGTCGTCCCAAGCCAAAGGTCTTGCCTTATTGGAATGACCATCGAGGGGGTGCTAATTGGCCCTCAGACGCTTTGAGACCTTGGAACTCTCAGCTTTCTTGTTTAAATGATTTCTTAGGTCCTCGATTTCTGCTTCCCGGACGGAGCGTCCGCGGGAACGGAATGAGTTCCTCGATCCTTCGCCGAGGGCTACAAATTCGTTGAGCCGGCTTAGGACATTCACATTATCTTTTTCTAACTGCCCTAGTCGATCCCCAAACTTTTCTTTGATCACTTCCGCCAGTTGACGAGCTAAGGGGGCGGATCCTCCTGACCCAATGCCTATACTGGTTTGAGGAGTATGCCCCCTTGACTGAATAGAAACGTTCCTGTTGTCACCAGCGAGATCCCTCCCCCCATCATAATGAGGAGTTTGTAACTCGAGACTTCTTTGCTGGAGACCTTTCCCTTACTGTCGAATATTCACCATGGTCACTATTTTTTTTAGAAAACAAACTAGAAAAACTAATCATTTTCCACAGACGGTGTCAGATTGTGCGTGCATGATCTTACATAATATAAACATAAAAACAGATATCTTTTGTGGTGAATACAAGTCCGTTGATCGAGTGATCAATCTTGCTACTTGGGACAGGTTATGAGGGCCGAAGGTAGCCTAAGGAGGGATAATGAATTATTTTTATGAGTCGTCAGATTGGTCCTGGGAGGCTAAGAGAGGTTCCTGGAACACAGAAAAACAGGTTAGAAGGGTGTCAGAGTGTTTTTCGGTCTATCCCCTCCGACAATCAAGTCAGTTCCTTGAGGGAGGAGAAGAAGAAAACACTATATGATCCTTCAGAAAGGGTTTTTGCATACCTTTTTAATGTGTTTATGAGGATTATTTATACCTTACAAAACTCATCATTGCTGACAGTATAGCTAGTAGGTAATCATTAGAGGTGGGCAGTGTGCATGCTAATTTCTATGAGAAATGCCCTCACTCTTAATTGTTCGAAACCCCAAACAATCAATTCTTTCTTCTCGGTCTGCCGAGTGTTTAATAACCTTCTCTCGGCGGGGGTATATTAAATGCCTAAGCATCGAAACATTTATTACCTTTCACTTTCACGCTCTTATGCATTAAATGTTGTCTCATCAAGAGAAATGTGCATTAAATGCTTGCTTTCCCAAGTCGTGTGTCAGTAAGAGCATTCTGGTCTTTTCGTCTCTGATCTGATACAATATGTCACGTGCCCATTCCCCTTTGGTTGAGCCTTTTGCTTTCTTGTGCCTCCTGACACCATTTGAATAGGATGAGATTATGATGGCTAATCTAGTCTAGCCTAAGCTAATAATCTGTCCATCAATAGCCCCTGCAGGAGCAAAAACACCCACGTGAACAGACACACCTCAGTGCCGAGAGACCAGTATGATAAGGACCGATATACCTAAACTGACCGAAGAATACGTGTCGGCCCATGGCGTATTGGGGATCCTTAACCCCTGCAAATAGTACCCTCGGGACAGGGGATTATAAACTGACAAAGACGTATGAAGATCACAACAAAGAGTCTCTATTGACGCCGAATACACATGTCGTTATCTGGGAGTGTCTGAAAATGTCACATCAATAACAATTCTTTCGGAAGGGAATGAGGACCGATTCTTTTCTTATTCAAAGATAGAACAGTTAAAGATAAAGGTAAAAGAAGCAGCAGCAAAAACTACAGGAGTAAAGAAACCTTTTTCGCCAATCAAGATGTTCCCAGGATAAGGTTCCTGAGACTCCAAATACAACATGATTGAAGAATGAAGACGAGATACTCTTTATGCATACAGGGTGCGCAAAACCTTGACTCTTACAATAAGTTGCCACTTGCTGAATCATCTGAAGAAAAAAGGACATTCGCAGTAGCACCAACAATCAGAGTTTCCATACTGGCAGCCTAGCTACATTAGTCTTACCCAAATTTAGATCTGGACAGTGCACCTAAAAAATATTCAGGTAGTTTTGGCAGTAAATTTTCCACTAAAACCATGAATTACAAGACAAATTATCTTTTATAATTTGGTTAATTTTTCCTATTTGATTGACCTGTTGTAAATGTAGAATGACAAATGAAAATGTAGAAACAATCAATAAATTACTGCTTTTATGTGTAGCAATTTAATCAATTTAAGATTCAAGAGAACGCACAACAATTAGAAGCTAACTATAAAGGACATCCACGCCAAGGAAAACCATGAACCACCTTAAAAATCCAAACCCACATGTAGAATATCTAAAGAAAGAAAGCTGTATTCTTTCTAGCAAATAAGTGGTTGCAACCTAAGAATCAAATGGAACGTCCTAGTTCAAGCAGCACATTCCTACTTCGGAAAGTCAATAACATCACGACCAAACGAAGGAAAATAAATAGTTCATCAATTGAGGTACAGGGTGTCAGATACGAACCATCCAATCATTTTTTTTTTATGTAATGAAATGAAAAGCTTACCAGAAACCCAAAAAATAAAAGCATTTCACAGCTTAACATTATCCATACCAAGAAAAGTCCATGTTGCAAACGAGCATTAGATACTAGCTATGTCTTTGACATGACCTCATGCAAATTAAGCTGCTCGTGGATCTGTCTGAATTTCTCTCTAAGCTTTTTTATCTGCAAATTACGGCAGCATTCAAAAACCCTTCGGGAGAGAGAGTGCCAAGATTAACACTTAAAATAGGGGAAGAGGATCACACATAGATAGATAAATACCCGTTTCAGCTCAATTTCTGTCTCTCGCTTCTGCTGTCCCAAAGAATGCCTCAAATTACTTATATCAAAAACATCATCCAAATCATCTTCAAATGCAGATTCTAAGTCCTCTCGAAGGAGTGCAGGCAACTTGTCTACAACTGGCATCAGGAGAAAGCAGTTGAACTGCAAAAGGAGCCATGGCTAAAAATTTAGTAAAGCAAATGGAACTGATGTTTTATATTTTCCATGTTATGAATAGCTAAGCAGCAATTGCAACATATCAGTGAATGGTTAAGCTATTGCAACAGAGTTGTGTATAAAAATCCGAAAAAGAGGAGGTACCATGGATTACACTACGGAAAAAATAAATACAGAGAAAAGAGGGTTTTCATTAGTGTGATTCGGTAAATCAATCAGTTTACATTCTCCATCCCATCCTTTATCAGTTTTGGATGGACTCCATCTAACAACCTAGAAGACACATTGAAAAATGGCAGGACATATTACTGCATACCTTTAATTCTACAGACGCCAAGAAATATTCTCTTATCCCATGGAATATTTGTTGTACCAAAGCATAAACTATTCTTTCAGAAGATGGAGCAAGCCGCCTGTTCCAAAGTGTACTATCTAAAAGATCAGCCAGCCTTGTATCTGTCGTCTGAATAGCCGTGCTTGATTCGATCCCTGAGGCCAAATGACTGAGTTTTACATCTGCCCTTGGCTTAATGTCCTGTTTATCATTGGCCACTGCAGGCGATGACTCTTGAGAAACACTGAGAGATACTGAATTATTACCCATACTAGACTGTTCTGTTCCGCCAAATGAGTCTAAGAATTGACGTAGTCCAGCACGATTCTGTAAATTTTGCATCAAGTGAAAAGAAACACTAGTACAAAATTCAGACCCCTGAAATGAATAATTAAGTTCTTTGTTTTCCAAGAAGACTCTTTAAAAAGTCCATCAGTTACAATTAGCCATATATCCAATAGCATTTCAAGTCATAAATATGTTCTTCTGAATAAGACCATTGGGAAAAGAGAAGTGGTAGCTAAAAATGGTCTCCCAAACCCAGCGAGCAACAAAGGATCTGTAAATGATTCTATCTTAAAATCTTAAAGAAGAAAGGAGTCTCAATTCAAGTACTAATGAAAGCAGAATAAGTTCATTATACCAACCTTATTGTGGAGGGACCACGTGACATAACGCGTGGTGCTCACTAAATCCTCCATACATCTGGACACATTTATACACAAGCATGATAAGTACATGTTAATGTAAACCTGACCAGAAAATAATCATCAACCAACATTTTTTTTGGATAGGGAAGAAAGATCATGTATTAATAAAACTTGAAAAGTACATCAAAAAGGTTGGATAAGGAAGCCAACCTAGAGAAAGTGCAGATGAAAAGGGAAAAGGGGGAAAAAAATAATAATAAAGCCTATAAATCACAAATGGCTCTCCATTCTGCGAAAATAGCAAAAGGTGGGATTCCCTTGATATCCTGAGAAATCGAATTGAAAAGTTCACATAAACAGCTAAAGATCACAACCAAAATATAGGAGGAAAGCATATAAGAACTAATATGTTTCTTAGAAAAAGAAGGATTCCGACATTTACTTCCAAACTATGGTGTTTTATATTTTTCATCATAACAATTAATAAACAGAACCCCCAGCAGCATGCTTTCCAAGATAAAATACAGTTCCACAAAGGTTGGAAGCAACACATCTTGGTAGCATATAAAAACTTATTTCTGTAAGCTCCCAAAATAAGAAAGGAAGTAAATTAAACACACAAAAAAATTAACATCCTTAATCTTGAAGCTTATCATTGCTTGAAAAATGAACTGTGAAGTGAAGAGTCCACATTTTCGTCTTAAAAATGTCCAGAAATGACATAAGAAAATTATACCCAGTAGCACTCTAAAGTGATGGCTCAATACTAAGCACAAGGAAATGAACAACAAAAACTTCCACTATTTACTGCTGCTTTTGCTTTTGTCAAAAAGGAAATAGAAAAATGATTGGAGGTTTGCCATTGCAACCAACAAGGTTTATGGACTGCATGACAACCCTCCTTTTTCCCAGCATGCAAGCAATACCATAACAAAATCATTTCAAAGCAATCAATATATTTGTGGTCACTGGTGTACAGCTTGATTTTTTCAGATAACGTAATCAATAATTACGTGCAGAAGTTGATTATCCAATACGATCGAAAGAGTGCTTAATAGTACAAAACGACATGCATTGGCACAGTCTCGATTATGGTTTAATTTGAATCCCTCTGAAAAACTATAGCCAGTTTACAAAAAAATTGAAATAGATCAGCAATCTGGAATAGGAATAAGAATGAGAAACTGAAAATAAAAAAACTTATTAACTTTTCACGGCATGATCTTTCGGAGGATTCCGCAAAATTGTTGAAGGAAGAGGTAATACGCCTTAGAAACACTGCATGTCCACTTAGATATTCACCATCTTTCTGTTGGAAATGTTCATAGTAGATGTGTTAGTTTTCGGAAGAGGAATGAGTAAACATAAATTGCATGCATTTCCAGAGATATTTATTAGGCATAAAATACAGACAAGCAATCCCGTAAATAACAAGCCTATACCTGAAGAAGATAGACAGAGATGGGAAGCAATCTCTTTAGAATGTGCAAGAGCCTACAGCCCAGCTGTACAAAGTAACAGAGGAATCTTAGCTAGGCCGTAGCTATCTACGGAAAAAAAAAAGTGTAGAAAACAGAGCAATAAACCCATAATAATTTTTTTTTTTTTGAGAAATAAACTGATTGAATTAAATAATAATGTTCTAGATTATCAATGAGAGCATAATATGCAGCTTCATCCCCAAGCAACATGAATCGAGTGGCAGAAAAAAAAAAAAGGGAGGGAATCAAGGGCTCACACAATCACCAAAAATTCACATTCGTCACTCCAGAGCTCAAGGAGCATTGATAAATGCTTAAACTACCAAACATCAGTACAAATGTTTGAACTCCATGGCAACCAATTGGTATGAATGAAACAGCTGCAGCCTGTTAGATGTAGTTTTAAAAATTGATTTTGTTCAGAGTGACAGTATGCGTGCAATGTGGAGCCACAACAGAATCTCACGGTCATCGTCAAATGCAACAGTGAATGACCATGCAACAACAACTACTCATGACCCCAGGTCAATAGAAAAAAGATGAGTTTTTCAATAAGCAACAAGGGTGGAGTTCTTAAATCTTTCAATGTACTTTATGAAATGAAGAAAAAAGGCATACATAGAAATGGAGGGGTCTTTTTGGACTCTTTATGTTATAGAGTTCAACCCCCTTGACCCATCCCCTTTGATTCGGATTGTGGGGCATTCAATGCACTTGATGTAGACCAGAAAGAGAGTCTCTTTCATCTGCTCTCAAAGCTAGAACAAGCTTTTTCAAAGGAAGGTATTAGACAAGGAGAACTCCCTCTCCTCACACCGAACTATAAATAAAGATGTGAGTGGCTCTTTATAAAGACTTAGCCCAATGGTTGGAGGATTAGTCAAATCGAAGCGGCAGGAACAACTGCACTTTTTTCCTCTTATTTTATTCAGGGATTCTGCCTTTACTGCTCGTTCTGGAACCGTTGAGTAGATGGTCAAAGGAAATGTTGGAACCGGCCAGTAAAGACGAGTATCGGATTGGACGGTCAAATAATGAACAGCCATTCTTGTCTTCCTCTTCGCTTTAGAGCAGTTATATGACTTTCAAAGCGTTTAGCAGTTGTAGGGATAGGGCAAGCATTTGTTTGTGTCTGTCCAAGCAAGCATATTTGTGTGCATTGATTGATAGAAGCAACAAGTTTTGGTTGGGACAAGCTATTGCATGCATGGAAGTGAGGCCAGCTATTTTAGCTTGCTTCATTTTGGTGTTTTGGAAGTGCTTTGACAGTTGACAAATAGTGTGTATTAAAAATGTTTCTCATTCAGGAAGAAATCAATGAGGAGTTAATCCAAGAAGTGCCATCTGCTCTAGTCTCTGATCATGTAAATGTCCCACTCTTCTATGCCATGCCTATCATGAATGTTGTCCACTCCTTTATTTGATGACTCATTTACAGCTTCATTATCCTTTGCTGATTTATCCTATGCTAGGCATGTAGTTCAATAAAGTAGGCTAGTTCTCTTATTATCTAGAACCTGCCTACGCCACCGTCACAAGAACCATTTATGATGGCTGTGATTCATCCCAGTGAAAACCGGAGACAAGGAAAAGCAGCTTCACAAATTGAGAAGCTCGTACAAAATTAACAACACCCTCCTTTTTGTGTGTTGGAAACTTATAAAGGTGAGAAACCTTTTCCTGATAATGTGGGGAGGAAGCTAATGTCAACTTATTGTAAAGGTTTTAGCATTCCCCACATTAAAACAAAGATGCATTATGTTTTCCAGCCAACTACCAATAATCTAAATTTCATTTGAAGAACCACTATAAGCTCAACTCAAGAACCCAACTCAGTTAAGTTGTCAAACAAACAATGAACCTTCCCTGATGACGTTCATAATAATCCTTTCAGTGAATGGCCCATGACATTTTAAGATGACAGATTTAAGATGGACATAGATAGAGTTATGGTAAATAAAAATCCTACATTTATTGCTCAAGAATAGTATATAAATCATTCCATATGTAGTGGCAATTCTCGGCTCTACATTATATTACCCAAAGACTGAGCTCTGGAAATTCAGAAACTAAATCAATGGCAATTGACCAACGAATCCCAACAAGATTATATAAAAGGGTGGCCCAAGTATACGAGGCTCTAGCCACTTTGGGGTTTGAGGAGAGAAAAAAAAATTTGAGATTATATATATGTGAAAAAGAATTTGAAAAAAAAAACCCTAACTGACCTACAGTTGGGTTAAGCCGAAATACTAATAGATTAGTTCCATCAACAGAAGAGAAAACACAAACCCTCCACCTGTTAAAAAATGAGCTATAAGTGAGATATTTTAGCCACGTCATGCTATTCACCTTGACATCTGAACATATCCACCATGGCATGAAATAACTTTATCTGCAAGTTTTATATTCCCCTGATTCTATACTTTCTGATACAACAGTGTTAAAAGGGGTCATAGCAAAATATTCAGACGCAACCAACAATAAGGGGTCATTAACAATGGTCCAAAATCAGATGCTCCTGTGTATTAGAGACCATCCACAACTCTCCATGTTTTTCAGTACTTTGTTATCAGGGATTTCCTTATTTTCTTTTTCGTCTAAGTTTCTTTTTTTTGGGTGGGGTGTGGGGGAGGGAAGTAAGGACTGGTTATGCATAGTGGAACTAATACATAGTTGATTTCTCACAAACTTGCATATTTATTGTTACATGTAATCCACAATGTATCAATGAACTTGTAGTTAGTACCCATACAATAAGCAGCTATGCTCTGAAATATCCAAAATTTTTAACCAGATCCAGGCATATACTTCCAAAAATAACCAAAAAAAAATACCTGATCAAGAAAAGGTTCAAATGTGTCACGGGCCTTTGCAACAGCAATGACACAAGCCGTCCTACATTTTCAAAATTTAGAGGAAAAGAAAAAAATGACACACCAGAACCAGAATAAAAGACCTGCCAACTTATATATGATTAGTCCCACAAATCCAAAGAAGCCAGAAGGCCAAGGCACCTAGAATAGTTGGTTCCATCATGAATATCTTCCACTCCACATGCATTAACAATTTCCTCTCGTGTAATTGGAGGGCATTTGATTCCTCCGGCAACAAAACGGAATTCAGCCATTGCACGATGATATTGAGCACCTCCATATAGGCGCATTCCTGCATTCTATACGTGGCAAACCAATTATTATATGCACATTGATTGAACTCCAAAGTCCAAACCAAATGCATGCCACCAATCTAAAATATGCTATAGCGTAGTCACATTCAAAAATACAATTTAGACCTCTAATTCGAGTAGTGGGAATAAGAAAAACGGAGACGACGGGGGAGACCAAATTTTAAACACCATGCATAAACATACCAAAGATATTATCACCATTCACCATAATTAGGCATTATTAGTAATTAGTTCTGTAATACGTATCCCTAGATGACAAAAGAGAGCTGCACACTTCTATTTTAATCCACTAGCTTTATAAAATTTCAAACTCCCAAAAGATTTTTGCAAGTTTTTAAGTCAACAACATTATATGATTGTTGGAATGCCTCGAAAAAGATTATAAAATTTTCAATATGTATTGTAGCCCTTTTTGTGCTCCATCTATTTTAGAAATGTTCCGTATGCTCTAAGTCATAGAAAGATATTTCGGAGTGATTTAAAGAGAATTTTAGGATATTATGAAATAGTACAAACACAATATTTACACAAATATGAAGGTATGAAGTCTTAGTTTACAAGTGATGAATTGAACTCCGCAAAAGGTGTACATAACGTATGATAAATAATAATTTAAAATGGGCATATTTCTTCATCATGGGAGAATTTTAGGGGCCTTAAAATTGTAAGTTAATCTCTAGATCAGGTGGCCAGATTAATTGATTTAATAGGCCACACTAATATTAATCAGAAGTCACAGGAAGAACCAGATAAAGGCAATATCGACTAAGGAAATCCAAAAAAATGACAAATTTGACTGTTCAGCATGTGTCATAAGTTCTCACACTGGAATATGCAAAACGTGCAAAGGCATCAAGCAATCCATCTCACAGAAATATACAGGGGGAAGCACTTTCAGAGCTTACAGGTATTAGCTTGTGTGGGAACTGAAGACCATCAGTACCAATGAATGCCCCTCCATTAACCCTCTCATCTTGTAGTGTTTCCCCTGCATCCAAAACATAGCAGAGCTTTTGATGGTCTAACAGGCAAGCAAGAGCCAAGAACACCAAAAAAAAAAAAAAAACTCAAAAGGGCAGTCCACGAGGCTCCTGCCACTGCGGGGTTTGGGGAGGGTCAAATGCAAGAAAAAACTAAAGGATACAAAAATGAATATTTTCAAGACATTATTTTATGCAAAATGGGAAGTTTAACTAACAAAAGAATAAAAATGAAAAGGTGTGAGTAAGGTCTTCTTATGCCAAAGTTATAACTAGGTTGGCAACATCAAGATGATTTACCAAATTTATCTGGAGGTGCAACAACTGTCCCTTTCAATAGCAGTGACAACTGAATGATAAAGGGAATTCTAGTTAGAAGATATCAATAGGAACAACAATCGAAATAATTCTAAATTCCTAATTACTTGAAAATAAACAAATAAATAGCTGCAAGAATGAGTGTCAGAAAACTCGCTGAACAGCTAGTAAAATAAGGTTCCAGCACAATTGCCAAGACCAATTCATGTGGAAGTTTCCATCTCAACAAATAATGTAATCTTCAAGAAAGAAACCTTATAAAATTTTGAAGTTTAAGAACAAAAAAGAAAAAGAAATAAAAGGGAGGGCAACAGTTGAATAAACCTTGGTCAGAAACAGATCATGAAAAGCTCTTCCTTTTTCCTTCAGTTTTACTTCATCCAATGTGCTAGGGATTGAAAGAAAATGAAATTATTTAATTTTACATGAGTATAGTTAACAAATGTATGATATACAGTAAAACAAAAAAACTAAGACTAGGGCTTGCCCCAAAACTTCCCCCTTCTTCCAGTAAATAAACCATTTAAAATCACAAGTTGTGGCACCATCAGAATTTCTGTAAACAGTGTGAATAAGTCTACAGACCTGAGTTCTTGATTTATTTCACTTAGCTTCCTGGTTGTGCTCCGGTGTTCTTTTTCAAGAAGGGGAATAATCAATGGAACACTATCCATATACCTTGAAACCATATACATCTCAAATTTTCAGGTCTGGAATGTAACAAGCTATCATATAACTAATTGTAGTGTGATACATTTAATTAAAAACAGCATACCTTTTCTGCAGCAAATCTTCCAAGAACAATCTAAGGCTACTCACACCTATTCTGCTTTGTTCTTGCTTTGACAGCAACCGGCCCAGCTTCTCCTCCAAAGATGCAACATCTTCCATCTCCCTCAAAGAAATGGCCTGCAACAAGAGGCACAAGAACAAATATCCACAAGTTGTGGAATGCAGCAAGAAACAAAAGAGATGCAGTGAAAACAAACTATAATAGATCATACGAGTAGCAGCCTGGAAAGAATATGGCGCCCCAACACAAAGATAGCATACATTTAAATAGTAGGAACTAAATAAGGTTACTTGTCACTCCCAACTTAAGTATCATTATAGCAACTTAACAAGTATGTCTAAAAGGATAGACTTTTAGAGAAGTTGGATTCAATATGGTATATGGCGCCCCAACACAAAGATAGCATACATTTAAATAGTAGGAACTAAACAAGGGTCTTTTCCGGTTACTTGTCACTCCCAACTTAAGCATCATTATAGCAAGTATGTCTGAAAGTATAGACTTTTAGAGAAGTTGTGTTCAACATGGTATCAAAGAAAGATATCAAGCATGCCCAAAATATGGCCTGAATGCGAGGGAATGTGTGGAAGTATACTAATATTTATGCTACTCCTCCTCAAATAGTGTAAACCACCAACGACTTCAGAAGCTTAAGTTTTCTTCTGGCTAGGCTCATATGCTAATTTAAGGCACCTTATATTCCCAATGCAAAACAATACCTAACGCCCTCCCACACATCACACATGTATCCTCAACTCGTACACAGTGACAACAAAGTAGTAAACATGCATAAGAATTGACACACTTCCTAAAGCCAAACTCGGATAACTTTAGAAAAATATCCAAACAACACCAATTTGAAATGAGTGAAAGAATCCAAGAGGCTCAAGCTAAAAGGCATCATCTACCAATGATGGACAAGCTATAACATTAAGTTACCCAACCCAAGAAAAACATTGCAAAAATAAGTTCTAATATCAAGGTTAAGGTCTAAGAGATAGTAAAGGATTACTTTGTTAAAGTCATAGTTATTAGTGATTTCTTTCCTATATCTTTATTCTATACTTCCAGGAGGCCAAAAGTCAAAATTCAAAACCCAACAAAAATATTGATATTTTTAAAAAACATGGTAACATTTGAAGACACAAAATAAAACCTACGAAGGAAGATAGTGGTTTGTAGTTAAGGCATTAGAGGTTACATAATAATTAAAGAAGTATTCCTTTATTAAATGGGGAAGTAATTATTCACTTAGAGAGAGGTGATGTGGCAGGGCTTTCCCACTGTGGCAATTAGTTTTTCCTTCTTAAATACTTATGTGAAAGGTTTTGCCATGAGAAAATTTTTGCTCGAGTAACAAACTTTTTCCACCGATTGCCCCCCACTTTGCAAATGTGAAGTGCATTTGTCTTTTTCAGTCCAATATTTTTACAACAACTAGTAATGAAACTTTTAAACTCAAATGTGAAAGATGAATGATCAAATTGAGAAGATTGAAATTTTAAGGCTAAAGTCCTAATACATGTAAGCCACATTTTTTCCCCGGTGGCCAGTTTTAACTTTGATCTCTTTGTGATGTCTCTTCCATACTATACATAATGAATACAACTATTTTCGTGATGAGAGAAACTACGCCAACAAATATAATGGAATCAATTTTCAGTGACCAAACTTTGAATTGAGCTGTGAAAGGTTTATGAGTAGCACTTGATGCTTATGATGTTTAAACAGCACACCGAAACATGTAGGTTAACCATATAATCATGGTTTCAAAACTTAAGGTGAGATGATCATTTAAATTCAATGAGAGAAAGGAAAATTAGTATCATTTACATGCAAACTGAACCAACACAACGAGAACATAAAGATTTATGGTGCAAGAACTATACATGTTTGAACTCATCATTTGATCGGTAAACTGATTCGTGCCCAGAACCAACTCTTCCGGAGGGCACAGATGTGAAAAAGGGAGAATCTCCTAGCATGAAACCATCAAGAGTATATGCAGGTGGTGAAAGAAAAACTTCCACGTCTGAAGCCCGTGCAAACTGAGGTATTTTGGTATCAAACTTTGTTGAGACAACAACAGTCCTTGAAAGCTCAGGATCGATCTGCATATGATAATGAAAAACAGTAAACTTTTGCTACCAATCTCAAAAGTTTGAAAAAATCCAGACCACTAGAACTATATTCCTATAAGTTTGGCATAAATAGTTGTGTTCCATCTTTTACGGAATTCAAGGGTGAGAGCAAGGACAAATCAGTGAATCCTATTAGAGTTGAGGTTTTGTGGAATTTATATAGCAAAAGATTTAGATAAGTAATTGACTGTAATACTAAAGAATCACATACCTGCATTACCACCCTCCGTGTACTTGCATTGCTCCAATCATTGCAATCTTCAAGACATAGGATAATGAACTCTTTATGCTGCATCTTAGCTCGCACTAGAGATTCTACTGCACGAGCTTGAGCCTACAATGTATAGGACCTTCAAATTCACCACCTTAATCACTGTGAAGTGAAAAAAGGAAATTAGATTAACTCATTCTTTGGCAAGGATTGGACCTGGAAAGCTCGATTTTTTTGACCCGGAGCAGGAGCAATAAGTCCCGGAGTGTCTATAATGGTGAGGTTTGGACAATATTTATATTCTACTCGCATGATTATTTCCTTTGCAGCAAACTGACAAGGTTGCTGCTCCAACCTCATGTTTTCAGCTTCAATGTATGCCTACATAAAATCACATGAGACTAAAAAGGAGCAGCCACCATAACCAACAGTTCAATTCTTTCTTAAAGTACAGTACAATACCATACAAACAAACATCAATGGCATTTTATATTGAACCAAGAAAAATTAAGTTCAGCTAACAAATATAAATGTACAACTGTGTGTTTCTCCAGAGCTTGAAGCCCAACAGCCCAGTATACACACTAGATCGAACACTGCAAGTATGGATTCTAGTACTTATTCTACATAAATGCAAAAGCCACCAGAAACCACTGATTTTCTGCATTTTGTCACATTCACTAGAATTGTACCATTGTAAAAATGTTGAAAACTGGCGAACAGAAAGTTGAGCTTTATGGCAAAGCGACCACAAGTGGAGGTCGATGGGGCTTCTTCAACCCATACAGGGGCCTTTCATTGGGTTCTCATTCAAACCTTTAGGACCCATTCCAGCGTCTGTGAAGTTAATGGTCAAAACCCCTTTAACAAGACTTCCCTATTGTTCCAATTGACTCTTTTGTTTGTGAAGGTTAACAGCACAGTTTCTATGTCCTTGGACCAACTGCCAATCTATCAGCTGGAGTTATCACCAAAGGAAAAAAAATTGAGAGGGAAAGAAAAGAAAAAGAAAAAAGAGTAACAAAGATCAGGAATTTTAGTCTGGAAGCATATTAAATGCCAGAAGCATTCCGCTAGTATCAAAGGATGTAGGAAACAATTTAATATCCAATATTTATTCAAATTGAATTCTACCATGAGTCCTTTTTATTTATTTATTTATTAAGCTCTAGATTTCAATATTATTCATTATCTAGAGTTGGTAGAATGGTACTTATTATGCGTTGAGTACAATTCAGGAAAGGTCCAAGATATGTTTGTCAATTTTTCCCTCAGTAATCAAACTGATAAAGATATTGATCTTCAGATTTGACCTAATAAAATGACACATGCTCGCATCTCGAAAGAACAAACTCAACGTATTTATCACCTATGCAATGAATGTTGGTACACTATCTGGCCCTTCAAACAATTGAAAAATTCTTCAAAAATAGATGAATTCGATACATGCAACCAGCGCTCAATACTTGTAGCCAAGTCTATGTCAGACATTCTTTTGTCTTAAGTGGGAATTCTCACTTTTACTCCACACATTTCCTTCGGTATATTCATAGGTCCAAGCATGGATTCTTATTGGTTGTAGGATTTGTGATGTTGCACGCACACAATGGATTTGAGGGAATTGGTTTAGTTCTCAACGTGACGTGTTTGTAAATTGAATATTAGCCTTCTTTTTTACATTCTGGATGGTAACTTTGTGGTGATGCAGGACACTCTAGTAAGACAGCTTCAAGAACTGTTTATATTCTAAAATTAAAAAAAAAAAAATAGAAATTCCAGGTTTGGTATATACTGGGAAAAAAATTCATGAATGAAAGCTATAAGAACGATGCGTCTATAGAAAAAAATATTCTATAAAATTCAAGTGTGCAAGAATAATTTGGAACTTTCTCACAAAAGATTAAAATATCCCCATAATCCCAGGATTAGTCAACTAAATTCCTTCCAACCAATTCATGAAAATACTGTCACATAACCCACATAACGCTACAAGATTATCCACGCCTAAAACAATGATCACATGAACTTGGAACCCTGTAAGTGAAAACTCCTCAACTGTCACCCAAAACACCAAGGGCAATAAAAGGACAGCATTATAGGCCAAATTTCATCGATTTCCACACTTTGAACCCCACACTCATCAATACATAACCAATAATTTTTCCCAAATGGGTCATCACATTCCTATGTTAACAAATGAATCTTTCACCAACCTGGATTTCTTGGAGGGATTTTTCTTGGGCAAGAGATGGGTCCGAGTCAGAGACTAGAAAACACAGAGGTGAATCGCAATTGGGGTTGTATTTCATGTGGAGAGTGATTGGCCTGCGAGTCTTGGTTCCGCCTCCCACGTGGTTGAACTGGAAGCCCATGAGAGCTTCGATGAGTGCGCTCTTGCCGTCGGTCTGGTGGCCCACCACCAGTACCGCCGGCGCGTCGAATGGCGTCTCGAACTCTTGTGCCAGCCCGTGCAGCTCATTGTATGCTTCGTATAGTCGAGACTGCTCTTCCAATTTGCAATCGTTCATGGCGACCTTCTCTCTCTCTCTCTCTCTCTCTCTCTCTCTCTCTCTCCGGTGAGCTGAGAAGGAGAGTATTGAATATTTGAATGGCGGTGAGTGGGCGTGTCACTGTGTCTTCAGCTTGATCCGAAATTGGGCTTTTGGAATTTGGATCCCTTTTGTTTGGGTCGGGTGGATTTAACCCATCCAAATTCGAGTTAAAACTCTATTTCCAATCTCTAACAGATTTTAGTTAATAATTATATTTTAATTTATTCTTTAAAAACTAAATATCTAGTCCGGAAATCGAGAACATTTTTCATTTCGTGCAAATATATATATATATATATATACAACTGAATCTAAATAATTTATTGTGAATAACATTTATATAAATCGATTAACATATATCTATATTGAATAATAATTTAAGATGCAATACTTGTAATTTAAACAATTTAATTTTTTGTGTGTACAAATTCTAATTTACAGCAATTCTAATTTATAAAATATGATATATTAATATAATTTTAATTGAATTAAAACAACAAATATATGATTTGGATTGAATATTGATATTTAAATCTAAATTTATAAAATATGAAATAATGGATGTTGATTCAAATTAGATTGATATATATATATATATGTATCTAATTTGACTCGAATACTCAACTCCAAAAATGGTACCGCATTGCCGTACAAATTTTTGTTGGTTTTATAAAAAAAATAATAAATTTTTTGGATATTTAAAATTTTTGGGGTTATTTATCACTTTTAGGGGTGATTTATAATTTTTAAGGGTCATTTATGGTAATCGATCATAACGTAACCAAAAAAGTTGTAAATGACTCTCAAAATGTTGTAACCGAAACTATAAAAAATTTAATTTTAAGGGGTAATTCAAATGATAAAAAGAACGAGCTATAAATCCAGATAATCTAAGTTCAAATCTCTGGCAACTCTTAGGAGTCAGGGCATGAGAAATTTATTCTTTATAAAATACCTTAATTTTAGCTCGGATGATCTGACTTTGACCGAAGGGGAGAGATGATTAGTCGAGATATACGTAAGTTGGACCGAACCCCCTGATTGTTGAACAAAAACTAAAAATAAAAAAGTTATAAATTTTTTTTGTTGTAAACCCAAAAATTAGGGATGTTCACCCTACCCTACGGGTAAAAATTATGATATTACTACTACACTTTCCTACCTGATAATTTGCGAAAAAATTCTTGACTTACCCTCACTTGATCAAGTCTACTATTCCTACCTGAATACCATCCAAAACAATTGGGTAGGAAAATCAGGTGAACACATATTTTTTGAATTATTATTTTTTAAATTATTTTAATAATTTAATTAAATAACTTGTACCAATTAACTAACATAATAAATTAATAATACTAAAGAAAATATAATAAATTTGATAATATATAAACAATTACAATAAAACAAAACAAGAAAGCCAAAAATATTATACATCATACATAAGAAAGTAATAAACATCAATAAAACATTAGGGTTTCTAAATGTTTGGACTTTAATTTTTAATTTTTAGAGATTAATATATATATATATATATGTGTGTGTGTGTGTGTGTGTGTGTGTGTGTGTGTGTGTGTGTGTGTGTGTAAGATAGGGTAAAAATATAGAAATTTTGTAGGTATTCCGTATTCTTACCCATTTTTTTGCAAAATACCAAAAAATTGTCCGTTGGTCTACCCGATTCTTTCAGGTAGCCGATTAGTAAGATTGAATAAAATAGGGTAGGATCAGAATTTGCGAATAATCAAAATTTTGAAAACCCTACCAAAAATTATACAACTTAGTACTGAATTTATTTCCCTATCCTTAAGTATTTTCCTTTCCAAACTTAGGATATATGATGAGATAGAATCACAATTGAAATTAGAAAAATCACTCAAAAAAATCTTATTCTGATAATTGAAATCGGATCCAATTCCGATAAACCGACGGACCTAGAAATGGGTCGGGTTAGGCAGGTAATCAGGTGAGCCAATGAAATGTTGGGCCCACTAAATACACTTTTTGGACTCATTGCCCAAACAGTTGTGGTTCTTCCCGCATTCGATGAATAGATAGGGTTGGGCCATTAATGATGTGCCTGGTTAGAAAGAAAATGTCCCAAAAAAAGAAAAGAACGTGACTACTAACTAGTGCGATTCGATCCCGGGCGCCTATGCTGACAACATGAAAAATTGAGGATTAAATGTATAATATTTATATTTATATTTTTAATTAATATTATAATTAATTTACTAAATCTTTATTATAACACAATCAGTTTGAAACAAGCAAAGCTTCTTTGAAGGTCCCACCTGGATGCGCATTGTCACAGATGGTGTTATGTCCGTTACTCTCACGACTTCTAGAGAACTTGACATCGTAATTTAGTGTTTTGGACCACCAGTGCATGACTTCATGGGCTACAAACTGTCTAAAGATGTAATGGAAAGAGGCATTACACCGTTCAAAGGATGCTTTAATTAAGGTCACAATGATCTAGAGAGTATTTTGAAAACCCATATCCTATGGGAAGCTAATGTAAAATAAAGGGTAAATTACACTTTGACCCTCTAAACTATACACTCGACTTCACTTTGTCCCTTGAGCTCTTGAATTTTTCGCACGGTTCCCTCGACTATTTTAATTATTTCACACTACTCCAATCGTAAATATCCATTATCTTTTTTAAACGGAAATTGCTAACATTCCAAGACAAAGTGAAAAAACTTGCATACTTCATGGGATAAAATGAAATAACTTTCTGTTAAATATGTGACATGCGTTAATAATTGGGAAATATGTGACATGCGTTAATATTTGGGACAGCCTGAAACTAATCAAATATCTGAGGGTACAATATAAAAAATATAATAGTTGAAGTGTAAAGTGAAAAAGTGTCATAATTGAGGGGGTCAGAGTATAATTTTTCCTAAAATAAAAGGTAAAAAATGCGAGTCGTGTTGGTCATTTTTGGGTTGTCTTGTGCATTAGAAATCCTAGTTTGACACATTTAATTAATTATATCAAAAATTTTGATATTAACTAGACATGTTTATTTATGGTGTCATGGTGGGATTGATGCCCATAACTCCTGAACAAGAAATCCAATACTAGGAACTCTTTCTTTGCCAACCAAACCTACAACTCATCAAATGAAAATACACTTGATCTAAATGCAAGCAAAATTAAGTAAAAACTCTTAATTCTACAAGGTTTATACGATACCACAGAAAGAAATTAGACAAATGAAATAATCGAATATTTTTTCCCGCATATTACTAGTTAAACAATTTTTCATATGGTACCTGATAAACAGAGTTTGTCATAATTGATACGAACATGACACTGTTCAATAATAGATTGACTGAGCAAAAAAAATTCTATAATTCTCAGATGAGAGCTACCAAACAAATAGGGACCTAGGCACTACTCTAGACTGGATTCCTGGTAAAAGAAACATGCACCTAAGGGACGTTCAAATCTTTACTTGAACCACACATCCTAATGAAATCATGTTAAACTTCATCACAGGAGAAGTTGAGGGGGCACTAAACCCTTCCGCCATCACCTTGCACACTTTTGAGTTTTGACTCCTTGGAGCGCAATGTGGTGGCTTCTCTCATTAATATTTAGTTCCCCCTTTACACAATCAGCTCTCTTCAGTTGCTTCTCCATCAGATGCAATCTCGGGAAAGAAGAGGACGACTACATCCAATGGCTTAATTCCAAGGAACCCAACTCAGTACCTTACGTATTTTGGTAGTATCATGGTGGTGACACCAGATCAAATTGTTGAACAAGCAAAACTTCTTGGGGATGCTTGGGCCTAATTTGGTCATGGTTGCTTCAACAATACTACTGGTAGAATTCATTGCTGAAACTAAAGACAGAGGACTCACCGCAAGATGGTGCCCAAAAGAGTAAGTCCTCAACCACCCGTCAATCAGAGGGTTCTTAACACACAATGGCTGGGATTCATCAATCAAAAACATCAGCAGTGGAGGGCCCGTGCATTGCTTGCCATTTTTCTCGGAGCAGCAGACCAATGCTAGGTTCGTTTGCACTGGTTGGGGCATGGGGATGGAGATTGAGAGTGATGTTAAGAAAGATGAAGTAGAGAAGCTAGTGAGGGAGTCGATGGAGGGGGGAATGAAAAGATGAAGGACAAAGCCAAGAAGTGGAAGGCTAAGGCTGAAGAGGCCACTTGCCTTTTGGCTCATCATATCAGAATCTTGAATGATTAGTGAATGAAATATTGCTATCCAAGAAATTAGACACTGAACCAACTAGATCTAGCCTCATTGACCACCCTTTGATTCCCCTAAGATTCTCCCAAACAATAGGTCAGGGTTAATCAAGGATTCAATTCTTATGTTACCCTTGTCTGAATGTTCTCTCCTCAACTGTAGCGATATTGTTTTTTGCTGTAATCCTTGATTGTTCATTGTAATAGATATGCATTTAAACACAAACAACAATAAATTAAAGTACACATGTAAAGAATGAAACTGTTAAATTTGTACCAAGCAATGAGGATCCGAGTGCATTGGCAGTTCTCCTTGCTCTGTCATGTGCCTTGTTTTGGTTGTTCTCTTCTTCTAGTTTCTGTTCCTTTATCTTCATATGTAGACCACCCTGTTGACATGAGTCAATAGAATAAACACTAAATTTTTAAGTCCTAAACCATTTTTAGATGACTGAAAACCATCTCAATCACGTATTCTTTGAACTGGCAAAATGCTACGTAAACTCAAGATATGCACAATCATCCACAAACTGCCTTGGACTTTTTCCTTATGATACATCAAAAAATACACAAACTATCCTTTGAACTCGGGGTTGCATTGCCGATTACACTTTTTGAAGTCAGGTACAATAATAAAGAAGCACCATCCACCAAATCAAACCGATTATTAACAGATCAAATTGGATAATAACTCTTTTCTTTTGAACAAAAAAACGTGTTGACAACATACTCATGCGTACGCACATAGCCATGGTAAAACTACATTTTGGGGAATTAAACTTGAACTAAGGCCCTATCTTTCAATAAAGCCTCAGCTGCTCTCCTCCCTGAAACCAAAGCCCCATCAAATGTAGCACTAGTCAAGTAATCACCACACAAGTACAAACCCGGCCTTAAACTTGGATCTTTCATCAAATTCGTGGGTGGGCTTTGGTTTGGCTGTGCAAACCCGATCCTGTACGTCCTCAAATGTGTCCATGACTCCACCACCGACCCCCCAAACCAACCCGAAAGCTCCCTAAACACACCATCCCTCAAATCCTCATCCGACACATCATCAAACAACCCGATAAGTGAAACTGACACCAGAGCCTTACCAGGCGGGCCGTACTCGGGTACCACATTTGTAGAAAAGAACATATTATTCACTATACCTTTGGCAGACCCATTCAAGAACAAAACCGGGTCCTTAACCGGTACTTGACTCCGGTCCGTAGAGAAATACAAACAAACTGTACTCCGAACCGGTTTTTTCATCGGAACCGGTTTTCCCTCCAATTTTCCTTCCAAAAGCATAACTGCCTCAGGTTCTTCAACTGCCACAATGACTCCAAGCTCACTCCTCAATACTTCACCATTTCCCAACCTCACATTTGCCATTGAATCCGATTCAAAATCGATCGAAACAACTCTCGAATTCAAGCTAATCGAATTCGCCGGCAGTTTCGATGCAATTTGCTCAGGAATCGCTGAAATTCCTTTCAACGGAAGTGTATTATCACCAAGAGCGAGACATTTGAATATAAAATCGAACAGCCTCGAAGTCGTTTCAAGTTCTCTATCGAAGAAAATCCCCCCGAAAAATGGACGAAAGAACCGATCCAAAATCGATTCCGAAAACCCGATTTGTCTCATCAAATCAATGGTGGGAATTTCTTTCCCACTCAAGATTTCATCGTCAGATTGAGTCAAAACCCTAATTCTAGTCAGTGCGATGAGTAATTTGTCAAGAATCGTACCAATTGGATTGGTGAGGCTTTGAACTGAGTCCCAAAAATGGCGTAAGGGGTCGGCTACGGTATGGAAGCTTCCATCGTAATAAACCTGTGCCCCGGAGTAGAATCTCCGGAGGTCTAAGGCGTTATAATCGAGGATCCTTTGAGCTTCGGGATAAGCCGTGATGAAGATTTGGAAGCCGCGGTCGAAAGTGAAGCCGTCGACGAAGTCAGTTCGGACTCTGCCGCCGACGGCGTCGGAGGCTTCTAGGAGGAGGAACGGAATGTTGTCGGATTTGAGCCGTGTTGCGGCGGCTAAGCCGGCGAGACCTGCGCCGACGATGATGACCCCGGTGGTTTTGGGCAGGGTTTGGAAGGACTCCGATGGTGGTGAGTCGGCGGATATTTGTTGGGCGGCGCGGATGGGTTTGAGGGATCGCAAGGTATGGTTGGCGGAGAGAGAGAGGAGGGAGGGGGTTGAGAAGGTGGGAGAGGGAGTGGTGAGAGTGAGAGAGAGACTCATTTGGAGAGGATGAGGTTGTGATGTGGGTATTATCTCAATCTTGGTTTTGAATCTTTTGATGGATATGGGTCTGGGCTTATCTATTTAGGCATCAAAGTAAATTTTTTGTTGGTTTAAATGCAAAAAAACCCCTTATAATACAATGAACTCCTCATAGTTTGAACTATCACTCAATTTAAAAATAAAGTATAATAGTGAATATTTGTTACATAATTTATAAAAATATTAAAATACCCTCATTTCGCCATTTAATTTTTATTTCAATACCCTTCTTTTATGGTTCTACCTCAAGTCTTTCTCTCTATACTTCTATATTCTTCCCCCTCTTTTTTTACAAACCCCTCTTCTTTTTCCACTTAAACCCACTCGCTAAGGGCTTATTTGGTATGTTGCAGGGGTTTAGGATCATGAGTTGAAGATTAAATCTCCTTAAATCTATGTTTGACAATTATGTATTTACCTCGAGTTTGAAATCCAGTCCTATCATGAAACTCAAGTTCATGGATTTCATGAAACCCAAGAGAGGTGGGTTTCATATGTGAATTAATGGGTTTAACATACAAATGACATTTATGGATCTTATATACCTCATATATACAAATTAGTTAAGGACACAATAGTCATTTATATATAAATATATTATTATAATAATTATATATTCCTGCACATACCAAACATGAGTATGAACAATATTAAATATTAAATTCCATCTTTAAGTTTGAAACAAACCAATTCAAACTCATTCCAAAAAACATACCAAACATCCCCTAAAACTCTCCCACCCAACCCTCTCTCCCTCTCACTTTTTACAACTTTATTAGGTGCCTTCGAATTATAACCTGAGATATTCCGTAAGAAGCTATGATACAAACTTTAAAAAAAGGACCATATTTTTTTGAGAGAAAATTTTTTATTCTAGGAATTAGTAAGATGTTATACGAGGTTAAATTTTTGTATTAACCATAAGAAAAAATTGAGAAATATCTTACACTTCTTTCAACTTATTCTATCTCAATTCTGTCTTTGTGATATGATTACTTTTCTTTTTTCCATTGAAAAAGAGAAAAAGTAAAAACAAAAAGGACCATGAAGAGCTGGAGGAACCTAATTTAAATTCTTATAGTTAAGGAGTGCTTCAAACTTCCAACATGAAGGATATGCTCTCCCAAGGCAACTTTTCTGTTCCCAACCTCATCAACCACACTCAAATGCTCGCAAACATCAACACTGAACCCAACTATCCCTTCTTCTTGTGGTGTCAAAAACACCTTTTCAAACCCCAACAATTGCTTCTGAGGTGCATGGTGCACAGATGGGGGACTAAAAAACAAGAAAATCGTATCGCTTCCGCGCATTTTTCCCATGTTTTGGACTCTCACGTAAATGTTAACAGCTAGGTTGTTGCAGCTATGATCAACGTCGATGGATTTGCAAGTTAATGAGCGACAAACGTCACCTTCCTCGAGGGGGATTGAGATGAGCTCGGGTGCTTGAACTAGGTGATGGTTGAATTGGGAGTAGCTTAGTCCATCGCCGAATGTGTACACGGTTGGCCCGGTGTAGAACCGATAAGTTCGGCCCGGGTAGCCCGTGGCAGGGTCTGGTCTCATGTTCATGTTTGTCATGGGGACATTGTCTGCATAGGACTGTGGATACCATGTCATGGGTAATCTCCCACCTGTAGAGAAGTCAACCATAAGATTAGGAATTTAATCTAATAGTCAAGACACAAGACTCAATAAAAGAGAGAGTTTATAAAAAGAGACCCGGTCGGCCCGAACCCGAATTTTAACGACACTGCCCCAACCTAGTCCACCACACGGCCTGTAAACTAACCCCAAATAATTTCAAGCTCTAATTAGTAAAATAATTTTCAAGTAATAAATTATGAATTGCAAGTTCTTAAGTCACGAATATTTTAAGTTATAAATCAGGACTTTTAAGATGTAATTTGTTTTATTTTTAAATAAAAAAGAAAAGTCCACGGGCTGCCCAGCCCACCCCATGGCCATCCAATCACCCGGCCCGAAACTAGTCAAAATGGCATAGAATCTAGAGCTAATTTCAATTTGTACCTTGAAAGATATTTTGATTCTCATTTTGTATCTTTCAACATTAAAAATTTTAATTTATACCCTCAATGTTATGAATTGGTAATAATATAAATTTAACTCAAACTATTGTTCAATTTTTTGTCATAAATTGAAGAATGTGAGGTGCAAGTACTTCAGACATGAGGATGAGATATATTCATCATTGTAAATCTTCATATACGATCAATTTAACACTGTTTTGTGTATAGAAAATAAAGTTTTATTAATCAGGTAAAAACTAACTCTATCATGTGCAACTCACGACAGTCTATGTTCAAAGCATTCGCAAATCACGCGCTTCAATCGATAACAAAAACTTAAATGACAGTCTATGTCATTTCTACATTACTATTAAATCATAACATTGAGAACGCAAATTGATATTTTTAATATTTAAGGGTGTAAATTAAAAATTAAATCATCTTTTAGGGTATAAAGTGAAATTACTCCGAAAATCTATGAAAGATTTGAATGAATTTCTAAAAGTGAAATAGGGTACAACAAACTTACCTGGATTATGAAACCCAAAGATCACATCAGCTATTGCAGCTCCACCAGCTTCGCCCGGGTACCCGACCCATAAAATGCTCGTTATTTTCGGATCATCTTTGGCAAATTGTACATCCATGCCACCACCAGACATTACAACAAGAATCACTGGTCCTTTGGAAACATTTGCAACCTCTGATACTAAAATTGACTGCTGGCCCGGAAGAGTAATACCGGCCCGGTCGAGGGTCTCTGCCTCGATACTTTGATCAGCACCCATTACGAGAACTACGGCATCTGCCAAGGCTGCTATGTTCTTGGCGTCATCGGCTTGGACACTGCTGCAGGCCACATTGGCGCAGCCCGGCTGATACACCGTCGCAACTGAGGCTGTTAGGCCTTGCAAAGGAGTTGTGTATTGGCATGGATTGCCTGAGACATAACTAAGATGATTGAATGAACAACAGTCTTGGGGTGTAAACTGAAATCAAGGCCATAATCGAAGCATATAAAGTGTAGTTTAGAAAATATAAAGGGGCAGAAAGTATAATTATAAAAACACGAGGGAAGCTATGACTCCTTGGACCATAATTAGGGGTGTCAAAACATAATGCGACATGAGATTAGAGAGTCTGGGTCTTTCTCAAACTATTCATTTCGTAAATGAGTCGATCCGATCCGATACAATTAATAAACGAATCGAATATGAGTAAAACTAATAAAAAAAATATACAATTGTTTATATACAGATTAAATATGATAAATACACGATATGAGTCATATGACACAATTCGTTAAACTTGATTAATAAATTAATTGAGGATGAATGGAGTGTTTTTTAGCACGAACCCATTAAAATCCGACACGATTAAGAGTGCTAACCATAAGATACTCCATCATCTCGGATCACAACTAACCAAATAGAAAGTGGGTGTTCGAAATACCTTCATAGTTGCCAATCATGGTTTTTGTAGCCTTTGCATTAGGTCCAATTACTGCCAAGGACTTGATGGCATTTGGAGACAGTGGAAGCGATCCTGCAGTGTTCTTGAGCAACACTATCCCTTGTCTTGCGGTCTCTCGGGCCAGCTCTTGGTTTTTCGGGGTGCACACGTCGTTTGGACCAAGTTTTCCATACAGTTGATTGCTCGGGTCACCATCGAAGAATCCAAGTCTCATCAACGTTGCAAAATTGTTCGAGATAGCTCTGTCAATGTCAGATTCATTTACCAGTCCCCCTTTTACTGCAGTTTCAGTGTTCTTGGCGAGGAAAGATCCACAGTTGAGGTCCAACCCTGTGGAATTAAGACATTCAACATTTGGAATTAAGAAAAACAATCCTGCTGTTTTTTGCTTTCCCTGTCGACATCATAAATACTACTTATTCTCATTAGTTCAGTCACGATTTTCACCGGTTTGATTCCAAACCCTCGATGGAATGGATTCTTGAGCAATTCTTGGTCTTCAGTTGTATAGAGGGTTCATTCTCTCAGGGATCCAAAAATATCGTATTTTAATTTTATTAAGAATTAAAATTTTGTATTAGTGCATAGTCTCACATAGTTCAGACACAGATGTTTTGGATAACAAATTGGAAATGCAAGAAAGATGAGAATCTTGATTCTGATCCATAAGAATTTTGATTTTACATTCCTGATTCATTTTAGTTTCCACCGAAATTGGAATGTTTTGGTCGTTTACATTCCTGATTAACTGCACAACAATATCCAAATTACTTGAATGCCTGAACAATTTAAAGGGTGCATGGCAAATGAAATCACCTGCCAATATAGCTGTGGCTGCAGTCTCCTCTGGTGTTTTGGTGTAGTGTTGTGAATTGTACATCTCGTTTAATGAATCACAGTCAGAAACTATGTATCTGCAGCACCAAAAACTCAGGTTAATAGGGCAGAGAATTTCAATAGCCTCAGTCATTACGAGGTCTAAGTAGGGTTGGTGATACGCACCCTACCCTCAAACCTGTGACACTCTGGTCATAATGACACAACTTTACCGATGTGCCATTTCCTGCCCTCATTTATAACTCGACTCATTATGATTATAGTAAAAGTTATGGAAAAAAAAACGTTACCCCCTTAATTTCCATTCGCCTCGAATCACCCCAGTTAGGAGGTCTGGATCACCACAGGTTGGCTTGCCATTGACTTGGTTGTAGGAACACATGACACTGGCGACATTTCCATCAACAACACAGCTCTTGAATGGGGGTTGATATGTATCATCCAGATCTTGCTGTGTCACCTAACTCACCACAACAATACAAACACAGTATGTTATTAGCTTCGCGTAAACAAACACAAGGAAATCATTGATTTTCACAAGCCTAAATTCACATGAAAAGGGAGAGAAATCGCTCCGATAATGGTATTATTGAATTTTAATAATTCTATTAGTACATAGGAACTATTTATAGGCATGCCCACAACCCTAAGTGCTCAAAAAATGCATTTAGAGCCCTAATTCTACGGAAATGGCTAAAATCAGAAAGTACAATCTAATTAATCAAGTAAAAGTAGATCTCCTCTGGAGTTTATGAAAGTTGAAAAAAATGAAATCCAATTTTCTTTAGTTAATTACAACTATTCTTAATCTTTCTTAAAACAACAGAACTCCTATTGAATCCCTAATATTTGGTCCGATCTAGGTTTAATGCACCAATCCCACTCCAATCATATTCTATCGCTCATTTTAGCTCTACTATTATCTTACCACTTTCTACTCTACCTTGGACGTGCGACAATCTTCTCTCTCTAATAAGTCTATTGCAACCTACTCTATTCACTTATTGATAACAAAAATAAAATAAAAGCAAAACCTTAAATTAAAAATTAAAATTTCGTCTTGACGTAAAATACCACGGCATTGAAATGGTATCTGTCAGTTCCTTTCCAATTATCCACATCATAGGCAGTGTAGTGTTTACAACAAGCAGCAACCTTAAGCCTATCTTTGTCACCATCATCTCTTTGTTGAAGGCCTCTTACGTATGCTGATCCATATTTACTTGAAAGCAGAGGATCTTCTCCTGGAGTTTCTTGGCCTCTTCCCCATCTGGGGTCTCTGAATATGTTCACATTTGGGGACCAAAATGTCAACCCAGTCAAACCCACATTGTACATTGCTCTGGCTTCAGTTGAGACCACCTGCAATGCAAATTCAATTGCACTATTGAGTAAGATTTGGAATAAGTCGTGTCGATTTTGTATTGAGTTTACGGGTCGTGTGAACATTAGACTAAACTGACCACTTTAAAACAAATGCATTTAAGTTGGAAACTTTGCCCTTTTAGAACATCTGGCACATTATGCAATATGCATACACATAAATGTGTCTGGGCAGTTTCCTTTCATAGATTTCCATTATGGGTGTACCATATTTGCATACCCTTTTGTTGATTTTCCTTCAAATGCTCTAAATGATGGGTCACGCACTGTGTATTGTTAGGGATTCCATTCTATGTCATGAGTCAGACTTGAATTCATAGAGAGAGAGAGAGAGAGTTCATTGCATAGTATTTTAGTCTTTACAATAGTAAGCAATGAACTCTCTCTATCTTTCTCTCTCTCACACACACACACACAATGACAGGTCTGTTTACATGGAAAAATCATATCTCTATCAACTTAGTATCAAAGCAGCATGCATTAGCTCAGTCCATATCTCAAACATTATCTCTACGGAAATTGACTACAAAATTGGATTTAGGTCAGTGCCGTCTGCATAATGCATGGATACAATAACTCAATGATAACCTCAAATTCACAATTCCGGATAGAGACCCTCTTTATTACATTTTGAACTAATTTTACTCGATAGTAGTTTATCTATCAATAATTCAAATGGAATCTACTGTTTATAATTAAATTTCTCATACATATGCGACAAATAGAGATAATTTGAATCCCACAATCAGATATTATGAAAAATGAAAACAGAGACATTAACAATCATGTACATTTTGATCCCTAACAAAACCCAAGTCCCAATTTCTCTCTCAACCTGTTTACCCAATAATAAACAACATATATAGTCTTTAAATTAGATCCCTTGTCTTGATAAAATTCTTGAATTTTTTTTGTGTCAATTAAGGTCTTAGACTCTTTAATTGTATCAATTGAACCTTTTTGTAATTGTATCAATTGAACCTATCAGGGATGGTGACACAAATGATTTGGATAAATTACACATATGTCACTAAAATTATGACTTTTATGTCAATTAAACTCTTGACCTTTTTTTTTATTGTGTAAATTGAGCCACTACACTATCTAATTGTGACAATTGAGTCATTTTGTTTTTTTGTGTTGTATAGTCACGTGAGTGACACACTCTAATGGGGTAGACAAAAAACCCAATTGACATAATTAGAGATTTTATGGGTTTAATTGACACAAAAAAAAATTAAAAACTTAATTAACACAAATTTTATAGTTTTAAGGTCACGTGTAATTTACTTCAGAAACAATCATCAAAATGATACCATCTAACCCATTAGCCAATTCAAACCACAGAGAGAGAGAGAGAGATGAATGAAAATGGGGCAACGAAGCTGATTAGTGATTACCTTTCCGATGGCTTCAAACAGAGTAACATTGAAAGAAGCCGCCGCGAGAATAACCTGAGGGAAGCTAGTAGCTCCCGGAACGACACCGGAGAAATGAGTCCCTAGACCGTCGTAAGAGACTCCATGTAAAGCCTCAGACCACCACTCATACTTTGGAATTCCAAGCCTACTCACTTCCCCTGCACCACTCACCAAGAACCCAATTTTCTCCTGCAATGTCAGCCTCTTCACCAGATCATCCACTCTAGTGTTCACGTCCGACGACGGATCGCAGAACGTAAAATTCGCCAACCCGGGATTACTATCGGCATCACAGGCGAAAACAGGAGAGGTTTGAGCGAAAACTTGGTGAGTTTTGAAGAATAGAAGGTGAAAGATTGAGCAGAGAATTTGGATGCAGAACAATGGTGATCTGTTCTGAGAGGCCATTGTTATGTGTGGCCTCCCAGCAGAAGAAAATAAGCGACCTTTACAGATGTGAATGTGGCGTGTGTCTGAGTGAGAGAATCTGTGTAATACTACAATCTCTGGTTGGTTTGGTTTTATAGAAGGTGTGTGGAAAAAATAAGTAAGACTACCTAGACCTAGACTTATTTTATTTTTTTAAATCAGAAAGACAGTTTTTACATAGTAAAAAATATCATTAGACTAAACTTATTTTATTGATTGAGCAATAATATTGGGAGTTAATTATTAATTTAATTTGTTAACCTAATTTATAATGACTTTTAAATTAATTGTAAGTCTCATAAAACATTAAAATTTAGTATTGATCAAATGATTGCACTAAAGTTACATCATTAGGTTAACAAATTAGGTTTTTAGGTTTAAATAATATTATTTTTTTGACTAAAACTTAAGAGTAAGAGCGATGATATTTGAACTGAAAAATTTGACTTAATTTATTAATTTAATGATTATTCATAATTATTAAATGAACAATGAGTCTCAATATTTATTGTGACCTGCAAACAATTCAAATGGTCAAATGGTTATGATAGATTATGTTAATAAATTAAATTTAAAGAGTTTGCTGACCTAATTCACTATAACTTTTGAATTGACTGTGGAGCTCATTAAACATTAAAATTTGGTGTTGATCCAATAGTTCTTTGAAGTCACATCATTATGTCAACAAATTATGTTAGATTTTTAGATCCAAATAATATTACTCAAATTTAAATAGCATTACTAGGGAAAAAAATTGGATGCTTATAAAGCATTAGGTGACAATGTCATTTGGTGCCAACCTCAAATGACATTTTGCCACACAACTAGCTAGACTCCAAGAGTTTCATTTGGTGCTTACACCCAATGAAATTTTGCCACATAATTATTTATTTATTTTTTTAAAAAAAAAGTAAATATCACTGACATCATTTGAATTTAAATCATATTATACTGACATTTTTTTTTTAATTTTTGAAATATCACTGTCCATCCATGTGGTTTCTAACTTTCTATATGCATTTCATAAACCACCCCTGCTGCCTATGTCATTACTGACAAATAAAAAAGTTGGTTATGTAAGACTTATTCTCTTATTAATTACAAAGTTTACCCTTGGTCGTTAAAACAAGATTAAAACAGTAGGCAGCATCGATTTATGTTAATTTTATAAAATTAAATGACCATTTCTTATTGATTTGATGAAAATGATGTTAATTTGATAAATTAAATGTTAAATTGATAAAATTAAATATAAATTTGGGATTAATTTGATGAAATTGAATATTAATTTTATGCTAATTTTATAAAATTGAATATCAATTTGATGAGATTGAATGTTAATTTAATAAAATAAAATGGTAATATTATAAAATTTAAGATCAATTTCACGTTAATTTGATAAAATTTTTTATTAATTTGATGAAATTTATTATTGAATTGATAAAAAGTGAATGTTAAATTGATGAAATTGATAGTTAATTTGGTGTTAATTAAATCAAATTTAATATTATTAGAATGTTAATTTGATATTAATTTTATGAAATTGAATATTAATTTAGTACTAATTTAACAAAATTGTATATTAATTGAATGAAGTGAATGTTAATTTGATCAAAGTAATGGTTAATTTGATGAAATTGAATATTAATTTCATATTAATTTAATAAAATTAAATATTAATTAGATAAAATTGAACATTAAACAAACAAAGTTAAAGCTCAATTTAATGTTAATTTAAAGAAATTATATATCAGCTTTATATTAATTTAATGCAATTATGTTAATGATGGTAATATGTGAAATTGACATTTAAACTCCTTCAGTAAAAAAATATAAAAAATTGTGACCATAGTTAGGTCAGGTCATAACATGGGATAAAACTTAAAAGAAAATAAAAATATAAGAGTAAATTCAAAAAACGCTCTTGTAAAATAGGAGTTTTAGTAAAGGTAATTATGTAAAATCATGTTCTCTATTAATTTTGTTAATTAACAAAAATTGACAAGGGTATACAATAATATCTCAAAAATCAGAGGGGACGTTAGTGAAATATGACTCACATCTAGGAGGTGATAATGACATTTACCCAAGGTAATTAGTAACAAACATTCATTAGTCATTTATATTTTTTTATTGGTAATATACAGCGCAAAACAGTATCACGTGGTCTCTGATGAACACACATATTTTTCTCAATGTGTGAAAGAATTCGTAGTTTAGACCGGTTTGGAAGGAAGAAGTATCCAAATTTACCATTTTTCAATTAATTATAACTTTTGGCATCGAGTTGTACTAACTTTTTTTGTAATTAATTTTAAATATTATTATCGATTCCAAATAATCCAAACATCTTTAATTCTATTTGATTGAGTTGTAATTCTACTCTTCAATCGTAGAACCTTCCATATGATATTGAAAGAACTCAATCTTGTAGGCCAATGACCTGTAAAAACATATTTTTCTTTTTTCCCAGTTTCTATGTCAACTTTTTTGTTTGGAAGTTCTCTCTTAGAGAGAGTTTGTTTGTGTGTGTTCTCTGGTTAAAAAATAAAAATAAAAATAAAAATTTGGTATTATATCACTTATTTTTTTGAGCATTTACATTATCTTTTTGATAGAATTAACTTAGTTTTTGGGGTGCATTTATTTTTTAGATTTACTGGCCACTTTTTGGGTAGTTGTTATCACTTTTTAAGGTTAAATTTGGTACTTCAAAGATTTTTTCGGGGATAAATATATAACCACCTACAACTATATGTTCTCATAATACTGTGTATTAAGTCTGTCAATTGTGTCGGGTGAAGTGAGTTTGTGTCAAAAATATTCAAGTCATACCCGATTCGTTTATTAAACATATGACATAACTCTTTAGACATGAATATTAATCATGTCATATCGGATCTACTCATTTATTAAATATGTGACCACCAAGTAGGGTGGTGTAGTGGTGATACCAGTCTTACTCTTCACCTGGAGATTGAGAGTTCGAGTCCTGGAGTCTCCATTAAAACTCTGAAGTTGACCGTTATACTAGTCTAGTTAGGTCTAATTTAGAGAGATATTTCAGGCGCGATTAGGAGTCTTATGATCCCACCGGTGACGGTCTAACGGAATGGTCGCTGAACGCTCTTCCTTGTTTCCACCTTTTTTTTTTTAAGTAAAAAACAAAAACATGCCACTTAAAAAAAATTCAAATACTCTAATTTTATATCGTTAACAAATTGTCACATTTTGACATCCCTTCAACATATAACTATGAGTCAGGTTAGTTTTATTGGGACTACTCAGTACTTAACTTTTTGTGCTGTGTTTTACATCCATGGAGCTGTCGTGAAAATAAGGCGGCTGACTTTTGGGTTTCACAGCTCGTACTGGCCAAATCAATTATTTATCTCACAATTTTAAATAGATTTATTCAATGATCATTAATATTTCTTTCAAAATTATTCACATTACATCATATTTTCAGACATGACCTACCCCTAATTACCTAATAAATCATCGATCATATATTTAAGCGGTGCTGACTCAGGTTTGACTCTCTTCAAATTCTTAAATAATTGGGCTATTGGAGAATCCTATAAATTTTCTTTAAATGATAAAAATGTTTCCACATGAGCAAATCTTTTTTTTATGTAAAATAAGTTTGAATTTTTTTATTTGATATCTCAATTGTCCAGTCGTAGTACTTTCTCGCTCACATACCAAATTAAATTAGACTTTATGCAAAGCAACATCTTTCACACAAAGAGGTAAATTAATGGTCAATAGCTGATGTGGATAAATCTTTACCCGTTCAAAGAGAATTGAAAAATCATCCAATTATTTAGAAATTGGAGGGAGCCTTTCCAGGCTTAGTCCAGTTAATCTCCACTCATATTTTGAAAAAATATATTAAAAGGTATAAAGTTCAAGCAGAGTCGTTCAGTGTGAAGATAGTCAAAGCTCAATGTATGTAGAGTATGTAACTCAAAACTTCTATGTGATGTTAATTTGGTTATTGTTGATGCATAAAAATAAATTTATGTACAATCAAATTAGTCGAGTGCATGGTGTAAAATAATTAATGAAATAGTTAATAATAAAAATAAATATTGGGTGGTTGAGTCTGGTGACCAAACAATTGAAAACGACAAAGGTGGTCGAAAAAATCTATTAGTAAGAGAGTATAAGGTAATGGTAGGAGAGAAAGAGGGAGCAAGAGTATACTCAAGGTGAGGTGTGTGAGATCTGTCCCCATGTGTAAGGAGTTTACAATTTATAAGCTTAGACCCCAAATTGAGGCGGTGACATGAGGGTCAAGATACTAATTTATTGGGGAGAATAACTACAATTGGGGATATGCACTATTTTAGAGTCATGACTATCTCAATGATTGATGTCTTACATGCGTTAACTCTTCCTGAACTCCTGAGTTTTGGACTGTATTGAAGCCATTAGTAAAGTTTGGTATGTCTCTTGATGGTTTGAGCTCAACACATAAACTGGATCCAAATTTAATCTGAATCTGGGCTCATTAGGTATAAATATCTGGATGATATTAATTTTTTTGATTGGGAATTAGAAAAAGTGAGTGTGTCACGTCATTTTAATATAAAAATTTCATTTAACAAAATATTAACAGAAAAAAAGAAAGAAAAAAAAAGATAGCAAAAGGTAATGCAATAATGCTAGACTGTGAAACTTTAAGGTTTGAATTTCCTTATTTCTTTTTTCTAAGGGCTTTATATTTGATTAAGCTCCAAATTATGAATTTTTTTACACACTTCTGTGATAAAATGAGGTTAATATAAATAGGTATTTCTTCAATAAACCATAAACCCTCCATTTGGTAGAAAAATGCCACGTCGGTGTTTTTTTTTTTTTTTTGGTCAGGTATTATTATAAGAGAATGAGATGATGAGTTTCGAATCCGCAATCTTGAATTACAACACCAAAGACAATGACCATTAAATTAACCACTAACCTCGTGTCGGTGC